ATTTAGAATTCCTTGTAGTGCTGGTTTGGCATTTATGAAGTTTCTCAGGTGTTCTTTGTCTTGGAAGTATGTTATTTCCCTGTCTATTTTGAAAGAGAGTTTTGAAGGATACATCAGTCTAGGTTGGAGTTTGTTTTCTTTTAGGACTTGAATATCTCACTCCAGGCTCTCCTTGACCTAAGGGTTTGTGTTGAAAAGTCTGCTGTGATTCTAATGGGCTTTCCTTTGTGTGTGATTTGTTTCTTTTCTCTTACTGCTTATAGTATTTTGTTCTTCTGTTGGATATCTGGGATCTTGATTACTATATGTGTAGGTTTAGATTTTTTTTTGATCATGGTTAGTTGGAGTTCTATATGCCTCACTTATCTGTATGCCTAATTCTTCCCTTCTGATTGGGATGTTTTCTGTCATTAATTCTGTGAATGGCTTTTTAAAGTCATTTGTGTTTTCTCCTGCTATTTCATGGATTCCTATCAGTCTTATGTTATTTTTCTTTGCTCTTTCTTGAAGTTGTTGGATCGATTTCTCATGATCCCTTACTGGTTTTGAGAGACCTCTTTTTTCATGGTCACTGACTGCAATCCTATCTTCTATATCTGAAATTCTATCTTCCCAATCTTTTATTCTGTTTTGTATACTTTCAATAGAGTTTTTAATCTCCTGGATATGTGTTTGAATGTGTTTCCTGGATTCCATTTCTTTCCTCTGTTGGGCATTCATTGTTTCCATTTCTTTCTTATGCTGAGTCTTCATGGCTTCTATCATGGTCTTGAGCTCATCTTTTTGTTTAGTTCCTGTTCTAGACTCTCATCATGACTTCTATTTTGCTCATCATCTCTATGGTTGACTGGGAAATTATTTCTGTTTTGAATTTTTCTGGAGCCTGATTGATCTGTTTTGTTACCCCCTGTGCTATGGGTCCAGTGTGTCTCGCTGGTTCACTATCATACTTTTCATACTCATTTGCCCTACTGTTTGTCATTGATGAACTGGAAGTCTCTCTTTGTGTTTTGCTTAAGTGTTTTCTCATTTTTATTTTTGTTGTTGTGTTGTCCTTGGTTTAACTTCTTGGTCATTACTTAAGTCTTCCTGATACAGTTGCGCTTTAGCCTTTGAGTTTCTAATGACTCAGAGACATCCTCATTTTCATAATATTGGAGAAAAGAACTCATTAAATCAATCACAATCCTTTATCCCAACTGATACATTCAGCAACCCAGTAGGATCAAGCACAGCTTGCATATTGACCACTTGTGGTAGTCATGAATCTATCACCTTTAACCATGTGAATTAAATTAATATCAAGAAGTCACCCAAAATATGTTTACAGTGAATATGCTTTTCAATATAGCATCTTTACCATTTAGGATGGTGGGTTAGACTGAGCTAGGACAAGAGAAGTAGATAAGTGAAAGAATTGGAGGAGGTTTGAAGTGAAGCCAGAGGACGAAGAATGACCATACTGTCTTTATGAAACTAGTAACTTCAAAGGGGATAGACAGAGTGCAGGAATAAAGACAAGCATATATCCCCTTAACAGTAACAGGGGCTCGCCTTCCCTTGAAGCTATGGAGCCATGTGTGAGGTAAAATGACTGGAGAAAAGAACATAAATAAAAAATAATAAAAGAAGAAGTCTGAGTTACAGCAGGAGCAGGAATAGAAAGGGAGATGAGGGATAATATGGCACGTAGAAAGAGACTGAGTTGGAGAGAGAGGACAGAAAAAAGAAAGAAATTTTAGGGTGGAATGAGGAAAAGGAAAAAAAAAGGGATTTGAAGGGTCTCTTTCGGACTATGTCTCTGCTGTCATATTATGCTTAATCTTTCTTTTAAAAGCCTCAGTCATAAGCCCTCTTCTCTTCCTTTTATTTGAATGTGCTAGGTAGTCTTATTTTTTAAAAATGTATTTGTATGGTTTAAATAACCATTTTCAAACTGTAGACTTCAAGTATATTTCCAGCCTATATATCCTCACTTTTCCTCAAATTCCATATGGCAGTTGTCTTTCTAGCACTCTGACTTAAACATCTACTACTGTACACCTTGGTTTCTATCAGATCCATCTTGTTGCTTTTGCTGCTGAGCTTCCCATCTGGCTGATGGGATTTCTGCTATCTTAGTCATGAATTCAAGTCTGGACCTACTGTCATCTACATGCACATGCTCACCATATGATGCCACTTAAACTTCCTAAATAGCCACATACCTGTCCAGTCCTGTTTGAGCTGCCATCTGCTGGGCTCCTCTAGCAGCCTCCCAACACGTTTCCCTCCTTCCTACCCTCCCCACCCTGTCCCAGTGCAGGCTTCAGTCAGAGCTGTATTTCCAAAGTACAGAACTGATGTTGTCACAGCTCCACTGAATGCTTGTCAGCAGCCACCCTGGTCCCTAGAATAGGGTGAGGCTTCTGCACATGGGATTGCAAGCCCTACCTGTATTCGTCTCTAATTTTCTTTTACATTGTTTGCATGGACCACACTGAATGGCTGTCCCTGTGATGCTTAGCTTGAGGACTTTGTCTTTTAAGCTAGAAATAAGGGAAAAGAAAAAAATATGAGAAAAGGAAAAAATGGAAACAAAGTCTGTAAATACGGGAGGGGGTATGGGGTGAAAGGAGGGTAGGGGTATGGGGAAAAAATGGGAATGAAGATCTCTCATGTAAAGGTACAAGATCCCAATGATGAATGTAACTGTACTGTATATCTAAAAAGTACCAATAAACTCAATGAAAAAAATCAGGATAATTATTTTAAAAAATTTAAAATAACTTCTGTGGTAATCATTTTACTATATTTTAACCTTATTTTACTCTTAGATGTTTTTTATGATCAACATTGTGAGGACAAATAGGTACTATCAAATTTAGATTTCAATGATAATTTCATCACTGAAGAAATAAATGCTCCTGGATACTGATAATAAAAGAAAAGATGATATGAGATGGAGAGCAATTACAGAGGTTAGAAGAGAGGAGTCATGTGACATAATTTGTACTTTAAAGATCCTCTGGCTATAGGGTTCAGAATTGAGAAGAGGGAGAAACTAAAAATCATATAGGCAGCTGCTTCCAGTATCATACTGAGATAAGATGCGAGTGTTGACTGGTGCTGGCTGTAGATGGAAGTAGATAGCCGTAGGCAGGTGCTGGATTTGTTGTTGAAAGGCTGTCTGATAGTATTTGTGACAGGTTGCATGGATGTGAGAGAATGAAAGTTGGTGATTATAGTAGGTTTGGTCCTAAGCAGTTAGAAAAGTGAACTTGCCCTCAGCTAAAATGCAGGCAAACTGGGCACTGAGCTGTTTTGGATGAGGTGGAGGCAATGAGTAAGATCATTGGCTTTTTTAAAAACTAGCTTAGTTTTGATATCTGTTCAATATCTGCTGATGTGGTGGCAGAATAATGGACCCCAAATACTTTTATGTCCTAATTCCTGAGATATCTCATGTGGCAAGAGAGACTTTGTAAGTCTGATGAAGTCAAGGATACTGAGATGAAAGAGTACATTGATTAGCCAGATAAATCCAATGAAATCACAAGGGTCTTTATAGGAAGGAGGTAGGTATATCAAAGTCAGAGAAGCACATATGATGACTGGTAAAGGAGTTGGAATGATATGCTTTGAAGTTGGAGAAGGAGACCACAACCCAAAAACAATGCAATCGTCCTCTATTTTGTTAAATCTATTTTTTAAGCTTCTTTCTGGAAAAAATATAGGAAGAGTTGATTTTATCCCATTAAGACCCATTTCAAACTTCTGATTCCTAGAAATGTTTGCTAATAAATTTGTGTTGTTGTAAGAAATTAAACTGTGGTAGTTTTATTATAGCAGTAATTATGAAATGAACACAGTAGGAGATATTGAGTGGCTGTATTATGTATGTCTGGAGTTCTGGGGACTTTTACCTTAACTTCAGCTATTACTTATCACTAATCAAAACAGTAGTGCTGTTTTGGCAACTTCAGCTATCGATTTATTTATTTATTTTGATAGCAGGGATTGAACTCAGGACCTTGCTCTTGTGAGGCAGATGGCCTAACCACTGATCTAAATCCTTGGCCAACTTCAGCTATCTTAACAATAAAAATCTGGAAACCATTTTTTAGAGTAGATTTAGCACATTTTCCACACTGTGCAGTAAAATTTCCCTGCTCTTCAAAGGTGGCTTCTCCTCACACTGTAATTGATATTCTGTGTACTGTATGCTACATACTTTTTGCATTATATATAACTTTAATTTGTTGAAAGTAGTTATAACTTATAATAAAAATTATATTCTGAAAGTAGAAATACTGATGTTGCAAGATGTGTACTGCTTAAATAACATGGGGGTGGTGGTGGGAGAGATGCAGGGAAAATTAAAGTAAAAGAGATTAAAGGCTTCAGTACACTTGTCTGAGAGTTAATAGTTTAAGAACAAATGGATTTTTATTTAAACCACAGTAGTTAATCTCCAAGATCATCACTCTATTACAGGAGCCTAATGACTGATATAAAATGGTCACTGTGAAAAAATTACCTCAGCATTAATGCATTCTTTCAGAAAGTAGAAATCCTGCAATACACTTTACAGTCTACCTCTCAACATAATTCAAACTTGGAGTGCATTCCCTCTTAGGTATGCTTCAGTTGCTAGAAAATTGACTTATACAGAATACTTAATTCTGCAGTGTCACTGAATTTTAGCACTGGATAAATTCATAAATAGGAATGTGAATGAGATACTTGATTAATCTCTGATTGTGCTCAGACCCTATTGTAAAAGCTTTTATCTACAGAATTGTAAATGACTAAAATAAAGGTTTTCAAGATCAACACAGTGGAAGTTCACTCTCCATGTTAAGTCTAAGCAATGTTTGTTGTATGAGATGATGTTTTAATATTGCTTTAACAAAATTATATCCTACTCACTAGGTGCCTAGTTCATCCCTAAATCTTGATTTGAATTTTCCTAAAAACAATCCTGTGAGTGAAGTACCATTATTATTCCCATTTTACAGATGGAAGACCTGAGACAAGAGACATCAAGTAACTAGCTCAAGTTTCTCCAGCTGGTAAGTGGAGATTCAGATATGTGGAGGCTGCCTCTGAAGTCAGTGCTCTTAATCTTGTTCTGCAGCCATCATCAGTAGACCTTTCCAGCTATACTTGTGAATTACCTATTCCCTATTGCTGCACCCCTGAAATGTAGGTTATGCAGAAGGTGTTAGTGGGATTTCTCTAAGTTTTTGTATGGGATCAGGTCCTCAGCTTGGTCTGGGCCAGTGGTTTATGCTTTCCTATTCTGACTGTGGTCTGTAACAGTTTACAAAGCACTGCCTCACCAGATGTCATTTTTCTAATTTAAAAATTTGTACCAATTTTGCCAGGCATGGTGGTAGATGCCTGTGGTCTCAGCTTCATGACAGGCTGAGATGGGGATAGATCTCCTTGGCCCTGCAGTCAAAAGTGGTGCAGCCTATGAAGCCATGAAGCTCTGCATAGGCTTACAGGCTTGTTTTTACACCTAGCTGATTCCCAATACATATAAAGTTGATGGATTGACCTTGTTTTGGCAGAGAGCTCAGTGTTGTAGACATGGCCTTCCCAAGAGGCCTTTGTGGGGTTGAGGGGTGTGGGAGCTCTTGGGGAAATAGTGCTAGCCCAACAGCCAGTGAGGACAAAAGTTCACAGACATGGATTTGATGACAGTCCTGGCCTATCCCTAAATGAGAAACCAGTTTCGTCTGTGAATTCAGCTAAGTTGTTCTGAGTATCAGTTAGATGAAAATTCTGGGACTTGAAGGGAATCTACAGATGTTATCAGGCAAGGACTGCCCTATAGAGCAGGGCAGTTCCATGAAAAAGTAGGTCAAGAAGGAAACGGATGAGGTATATGCAGAAACAGTAATCAGTAGTAAAGATAGAAGGGGATAAGTGACATAAGTGAGACACAGAGAAAGTACAACCAGTGATCTTGGCCACAACCAAGTAGGGAACTCCAGGTTGACTTTGGTATTTAGTCAGCCTTGTTGTGGTATATGTGTCATTCTTCTGTAATCAGGATTCCAATATCTTGAAACTCTCCTCTTTCCTTAATATAATTAACTTACTACTATTAATCTAGTATGCTGTATTCACAAAAGCACTTGTGTGTACTAGGAAACAACTAAGCACAGTTTGCTCTCCAGAAACATGCACCATGGAGATAATGCTGAAAAGCAATAGTACATTTTTTTCTGCTTTTTCTTTTCTTTTTGTAAAAAGTTTTTTGGAGAGTTTACTAATATTTGTATATTTTTTCTTTTATTGATTTAATTGGTACATTTTATATATACAGTACAGTTACATTCATTATTGGGATCTTGTGCCTTTATATGACAGGTCTTGGTTCTCATTTTTTCCCCTTGTCCCTGCCCTCCCTTCACCCCTCCTCCCCTCCCCCTTTACAAACACTTCATTTCCATTTTTTCATTTTTTTCATATTTTTTTCTTTTCCCTTAATAGCTTTGCCCTACACTCCCCACTTTCCCTACACCTTTAGTCCTTTTCTTCCCATTTCACAATGTCAGTTATCTCATTAGGATCTTTTGTACTATTACAGTTTATTAACACCAGAGAAACTATTCAGTATTTACATATGTGTCACTTATTTATTTCACTTAGGAGTACATCCTCAATATGTATCCATTTTCCTATGAATGAATCTAATTTCTCATTCTTTATGGCTGACTAGAATTCCATTTTATAGAAAACCTACATCTTCTTTATCCAATTTCCAGCTCATAGGCAAATGGGCTTTTCCAAGTTTTACCTATTACAAACTGTGCCACAATAAACATGGGTGTGCATATGTCACTCTGGTATGATTCTTTTAATTCTTTTAGAAAGATACCCAGCAGAGGGATGGCTGGGTCAAATGGAACCTGTAGTCCCAACTCTTTGAGGTATCTCCATATTGATTTCCTGATTTCCATAGTGGTTTCACCAGTCTGCACTCCCACCAACAATGAAGGGTTCCTTTCTCCCCTCAACCCTGCCAACATTTGTTATTGGTTGATTTCTTGGTAGCGGCCATTCTTTGTGGGGTGAAGTGAAATCTCAGTTTTGTTTTCATCTGCATTTCTTGCATGAGCAGTGATGTGAAACATTTTTTCATATATTTACTTGGTGCTTTTACTTCTTTGTCTGACAAATGTCTGTTCATTTCAGATGTCCATTTTTGAATTGGGTCTTTATATTTGGGGGGTGCTGGTTGTTTTGAGTTCTTTATATATACTATATAATAGTCCTTTGTCTGAGGAATAGTTGGTTAAAAGTTTTTCCCATATTATATAGGCTGTCTCTTAGTTCTGTTAATTGTGTCTTTTGCAGTGCAGAAGCTTTTTAATAAGATGAGGTCCCACTTGTTGATTCTTTCTGCTAATTCCCATGCTACTGAGGATTTTTTTGTAAAGTCTTTTCCTATGCCAATGTCTTCAAGAGTTCTGCCTAACTTGCTTTCCAGCAAGTTAATGTTTTTGTTTTTATATTTAGATCTTTAATCCACTTGGATTTTAATTTAGTGCATGGTGAAAGATAATGGTGTAGTTTTAATCTTTTCCAGGTTGTGATCCAGTTTTTCCAACACTATTTGTTGAAGAGGCTATCATTTCTTCAGTGAGGATGGTTGGCTCCTTGGTCAAAAATGAGGTAGCTGAGTGTATCTGGAGTTGTTTTTGTGTCTTCCAATCTGTTCCACTGATCTTCAGGTCTGTTTCTTTGCCAGTACCATGCTGTTGTTTATCACAGTGGCTTTGTAGTATAGTTTCAAATTGGGAATTGCTATACCCGCTGCCATGTGTCTGTTGCCTAGGTTGGCAGGCTTTTGCTATTCTAGGTCTCTTATGGTTCCAAATTAATTTTTGGATTCTTTTTTCTAGTTCTGTGAAGTACAGTGTTGGAATTTCAATTATCATTGCATTGAATCTGTATAGCAGTTTTGGTAGTAGTGCCATTTTCACTATATTGATTCTTCTTAACGAGGAGCAGGGGTTGTCCTTCCATTTTTTTATATCCTCTTCAATTTCTTTTTTCAGAGTGCTGTAGTTTTCAGTGTAGAGGCCTTTTCCTTCTTTTGTTAAGTTGATTCCTAGATACTTCATTTTTTGGATGCTTTTGTGAAAGGAATTGTTTCATTAATTTCTCTCAGTGAGTCTGTTGTTTATGTAGAAGAAGGCTATTTATTTTTTGTGTTGACCTTGTATCCTGGTATACTGCTAAAAGTGTCATTTCAGTCAACAAGTCTTTTGGTGGAGTTTTTCGGTTCTTCAATGTAGAGTGTCATATCGTCAGCAACCAATGAGAGTTTAACTTCTTCTGTTCCTATCTTTATTGCTTTGATTTCTTTTTCTTGTATAATTGCTATGGCCAATGTTTCCAGAACTATTTCGAAGAGGAGTGGTGGTAGTGGGCATTCTTATCTTGTTCCTGATTTTAATGTGAAGGCTTTCAGTTTTTGGCCATTTAATATGATGTTGGCTGTCGGTTTTTCATAGATAGCCTTTATTAAGTTGAGGTATAGACCATCTATTCCAATTTTTTGCAGGGTTTTATCATGAATGGGTGTTGAATTTTGCCAAATAGTTTTTCTGCATCTATCGAGAGGATCATGTGGTTTTTATTCTTGACTTTGATAATATACTGTATTACATTTAGTGATTTACGTATGTTGAACCATCCTTGCATCCCTGGAATAATTCCAATTTGCTCAGGATGTATGATCTTCTTGATGATACTCTGTATTCTGTCTGCTAGTATCTTATTAAGGATTTTTGCCTCTATATTCATTAAGGAGATTGGCCTGTAGTTCTCTTTTTTAGTTGCATCTTTCCCTGGTTTGGGAATCAAAGTGATACTTGCCTCCAGGAATGAATTTGGAAGTATTGCTTCCCTTTCAATTTCATTGAAAAGTTTGAAGAGTAAAGGCAGTATTTCTTCTCTAAATGTCTTGTAAAATTCAGCAGTGAATCCATCAGGACCTGGGTTGTTCTCTTTTGGTAAGTTTTTAATTACATTTTCAGTTTCAGCAATTGTAATTGGGGTGTTTAAAATGATTTTATCTTCTTTGTTCAACTTTGGTAATTCATAAGTATCTAGAAATCTGTCCATTTCTTCTGTGTTTTCTATTTTATTAGAGTAAAAGTTTTCAAAATAGACATTAATGATCCTCTGGATTTCTGTTGGATCTGTTGTGACTTTACCTTTTTCATTTCTGATTGCATGGATCTGCCCCTTTTCTTTCCTTTTTTTGATAAGTTTTGCTAAGAGCTTATAAATTTTATTTATTCTTTCAAAAAACCAACTCTTCAATTCATTTATTTTTTGTATTGTTTTCTTTGTTTCTATTGCATTGATTTCTTCTCTATTCTTTATAATTTCCTCTCTTGTTCGAGCTTTGGGTTTTTCTTGCTCTTGTTTTTCTAGGAGTCTAAGATTCATTATTGGGTTGTTTATTTGAACTTGTTCTATTTTCCTGGTGAGGGATTTCAGTGCTATGAATTTTCCACGTAGAACTGCTTTCATTGTGTCCCATAGATTCCTGTATGTTGTATTGATATTTTCATTTATTTGTAAAAACTGATCTCTCCTTTAATTTCCTCTGTGACCCATTGATTTTTCAGGAGAGTGTTGTTCAATTTCCATGTATTTGTTATGTTCCTATGGTTACTTATGCTATAGATCTCCAGCTTTAGTGCAGTGTGATCTGATAATATACACGGAATAACTTCGATTCTTCTGCATTTATTCAAACCTGTTCTGTGAGCTAGTATGTGATCTATCTTGGAGAATGACCCATGTGCAGCTGAAAAGAAAGTATATTCTGATTTTGTGTGGTGGAACACTCTTTAGATGTCTAATAAGTCCATGTGTTCAAAATCTTGGTTATTTCATTGTTGATTATTTGCCTAGCTGACCTGTCTATTTGTGATAGTGGGGTATATAGATCCCCTGCTACAATTGTATTAATGTTTATATGGTTTTGTGTGTTACTTAGTATTTGTTTTGTGTATTTGTGGGAATTTATATTTGATGC